TTTACCCTATCTTGACACCCTGGCAGATCCAACTTTCCAACAAGATAATGCCCGACCACATGTTGCAAGAGTCACAATAGACTTCTTTCAACATAATGATGTCACATTGTTACCATGGCCACCAAGATCTCCCGACTTATCCCCAATTGAGCACGTGTGGGATATGATGGGTAGGAGATTGCTCAATTTGCAACGTCCTCCTCAGACTCTAGACGCACTTCGAGAGGAGTTGGTGGTTGCCTGGTGTGAGATACCACAGGAGGACATTGACCACCTGATCAGAAGCATGCCTAGGCGCGTTGGAGAATGCGTAGCACATCAGGGTGCATCCACACATTATTAAAGGTCAAAGGGCTTTAAAGCAGTGCAATCATTTTGAAACTTTTATCATTTACTTATTATGCTTCATTAAGTACTTATACAAAATTTTATTAAAATAAAACCATTTAAACTGGGTGTTCGGATTTATATGTCACTTAGTATATTAACGGATTTCTAATAACCTAAATTATTCGAATATTTTCGCTCAATCAATTACTTTCACGCTAGTTAGGACGGGAGCTTGCGTCGATGAGTTTTTAAAAAACACTTTCTTCAGACCGAACTAACAAAATTTTTATTAAGAAGAATTACAGAGTTGATCGTAGCAAAAGCAAAGTGAATCTGAATAACAATGCAAGTGTGTGTGTGTAAGATAAGGATGAAAAAAGCTGATGCAGCGCCAATTCTGCATTTGAATAATTCCCCATTATTAACAATATTGTAAAAACTTAATAATGAAAAAGATGTCACAGCGAACAGATTTGAATAGCAGAGACTTGTCAGATGTCAAAAGCCAGTGACATATTCCAGAGCAACTAGATATTTATTGCTAAATTGCATTCTTCAATTATTACATTAATTTTCTCGTACAATAGAACGGTTTTTATTTTTTTACTCAAAAATGGCGCATCGAAAGAAAACAATTCAAGAGAGATCATTTGTTTTAAATTGAACGGGGAATTCAAAAATAATTTTTATTCGACAAAAAGCCATTGGCGTTCCACTTTTTTCTTAAAAAATATCGAAGTCAATACCCGTACGCACGCCACTGCTAAAGTTAAAAATCATCTTTGTATTGAAAAATATGCAACTTCATTAACTTTCACTACGTACTAAATATCAGTGAAATATCTGAAATATATATCCGAAAATATTAATTAATTTCCATTTTTTTCCTAAAACTTCAACAACATTTTTGGACCATTGTTTATAAAGCAAACTAACATTGATTTTTCATGCTGATTCATACCCTTAAATATTCGCATATCATTATAAATCGAAAAAGAACCCTTATGAACACCTAATATATCCCAAAAAAAAGAGCAGATACTCCCAGTTAGTAAATAAAAAGCTCATTTGTAACACCTGAAACCTGCCTCATAAATCATGCAGCTTTTTTGCATCCGCACGCCGCTCTCCTTTCTGCGGCGATAAAGGCACAAAGGCTATTTTAAAATAAAAAAGTGTTGCTATCAAAGCAGAATGTGGGACAAGTACAACACATACAAAACACGTGTTTGCGAGCGTATATGTAGACGACGTTATATAAACGTATATACGCAACGGCTGTGCATGAACAACGCTGCTGTTGTACGGCTGGCTATAGATGCTAGAATAAACACCTTAGCGTAGGAGGGGGATTGAAAGTCAATATTGATTCCTCCTGATAATAGCAATATATGGATAGATGCTCGTCAGAGATTCAGGAGTTAACAATTTTTAAAGTAGATATCAGTAGAATTCTTATTGTATTGTCATTATGAACAATGTTAAGAATGGCAAACGTGAAAACAACGAACCCGCCTGTGAGTGCCAAAATATAAATTTACTTTATTAAAATAAAACCATTCAAACTGGGTGTTCGGATTTATACGTCACTTAGTATATTCATATTTGTCTATATACTTTTGTCCATTACTGTATGCCAAGGTCTTTGTCGCAATTTCCCTTAGCTATAAAAACCCGTGCTACTTTTATAAGACAAAGTTTATATGATGGACGAATATACCCTCCAAATTGTATACACGTAATACCTATCCAGTTACGTAACGAATATGCCCAATTACTTTAATGAGTATCTAACGTGACGCTTAAACTCAATTGGTATTCCGGGTAGACTACGCATTTACATATTTTTGATATTAATTAGTAGGAGTGCTAGGTACTTTGTGTGAGACGTATCCCAGCACGAGTGGGTGGATGTGACAACGAATCTTCTCATTTCGCCTTTGATCTTTAGTCCATTCAGGGTTGTTGAAAAAGGGTTCGATTATGTTTATTTTCAGCTTTGCGATAAAATCGTTAAATACGTATTTTTACAATCGCAAAAATGTTTGAAATGAAGTTTTCAAAATAACTAATAAAAATGGCATCAAGTAAGTTGACTCTGACGATGTCCTCAGTTGGAAAAGGATTATGTCTGGTACAAGTTAGCCCTTCTGAGTAAAAAGTTAGAGACGAACATGCGTAACAAAAAATTAAATGAGCTGCAGTGCCATGATCGATGAGATGTCCACAGTAGTGTGGGAGCGACTGCCGACAGTAACGTACGACCACCGAGGACGACGCTTGTCCATCGGGAGACGACGTCGCACGTATCATATATTTCTAAGGGTAAATGTACCTATGATGAGTGATAATAATAATAATAATAATAATTAGTCTTTTATTTGTAATATTTTTACAGGAGGGGAGATTTAGATTATATATCTATTCTACTATCTAACCCCCTTAACAATACGAGATGTAAAAAAAAAAGAATTTGTTGAAAATTAATATATACAATAACTACAGAATAAAGTGTAATCCAAGTAAATACATAAGGAAAATATGAGGACACTTATGGGTTACAACCGATTTCGCTGCTGATCAAGAAGAACTTCTTTCATTTTTTTCTTGAATTTGGATAATGGATTGGTTTCTTTTAAACTGCGGTCTGAAGAATTATATGATTTGATCGCATTGTAAATGTATGTATTCTGAAATAGAGACGTGCAGTGGCGTGGAATTGAAAAAGTCTCTCTATATCTAATATTAATACGATGCATAATCCCTCTACGTATGAATTTGTTTACTAAATATGACGGTGTTTTTGAATAAAGAACCTTATGAGTCAGATTTAGGAGCTGGTACTTATACAATTTATCAATTTTCACCCATTTGAGTACATTAATGGCATTCGATATATGATCATATTTTCTGAGATCATTTACAAGTCTGCAACATGTATTCATAATCCTTTGAATACAATTTCTTGTTATAATATCTAAATAGGGATAGCAAACCACTAAGCAATACGATATCTTTGAAAACACGAAATATTCACACAATTGCTTTCTCGCAGATGTATGTAATATAGTCTTATTTGCAAATAAAACTCTGAGAATAGCGTAGCACGGAGTAATTAGATAGTTCACATGTGCAACAAATTTTAAGTCATCATCCATTATAATACCTAGGCTTTTCGAATGATCAACAGGAATTAATTCATTACCTTTTAAATGTATGTCTATGTCCTTTTTTAAGGTATTCTTTTTTGTTCTATTTGCGTATACCAACATATTTGTCTTCAAAGGGTTCAAACGAAGATTATGACTACTACTGAACTTTTCAATTTGGGCAAGATCTTGATTAATTTTATTATTTGCCGTGTTCCAAGTCATTACTCCTAAATGAATAGGAAATTTGAGTATCAACTGCAAAAAATTGTATGCTGCATGATTTTACCTCTGTTTCTAAATCTGAGATATATAATGAAAATAATAGCGGTCCTAAGACTGATCCCTGTGGTACACCAGAACAAATTTTTTGTTCCGTAGAGTACTGTTGATTTAGACGAACTTTTTGATACCGATTTTCAAGGTAGGTTTGAATAAACGAAAGAGGTTTTTCAGAAAATCCATAATAACTGCATTTAGATACAAGAAGTGAGTGATTAATGGTGTCAAATGCTTTAGTAAAGTCTGGAAGTATGAGAGCTACTGCTTTTTGTTTATCAAGTGCCATTGTTATATTGTCTGTTAAATCACAGATGGCCGAAGCTGTATTATGACCTTGTCGAAATCCAGATTGTTTATTTAGATGGAATAATTTTGTTAGGATATGAGTAGGCGCAGAGCTGTTCGTAAACAACGCGTTACAATATTGGCAGTAGACTGATCGGTCTCAGTTGACCATAGTTAGTAGGATCAGGACATTTAGGTAGCGGAATAACTATAGCGCGTTTCCACTGATTGGGGAAATATCCCCTCTCTAAACAGCAGTTTATAACATGCGTTAAGTACACATCAATTTCAGGTATACATAGTAGTATCACATGCAAAGTTATTCCATCTGTACCACTAGAATTTGATTTTGTTTTATGTATAATTTTAACAACGGTGTCAATAGTCACTTTATTAAATTGAAATTTGAATTTTGAGTTATTTTTATTAGCTCGGTAATATGCAATTTTATCAACACAAGCCATTCTCGAAAATTGAAATGAATGCCTCATTTATTTTATACGGATCTGACAAGCTCACGGGAATTGTAGAATCTTTCTGAGATTGTACTTTGAAAGTCTTTACGATCACGTTTGAATGTTGACAAAGCTTCAGCTCTCTGCTTGAATATAAGTTTAATATTATCATCCAACCAAGGAGCTGGAGCTTTGTTTACACGCACTACCTTTTTTGGACAGTGAACATTAAATAAACATAAACTACTATCTGTTAAAAAGTTAATTTTATCTTCAATGTCATCTATCGATATAATATGCCACCGTGGAAACCTCTTGAGATCCTGTTCAAACGCTATTTCATTTAAACTATGGAAATCCCTGAATGTCACAAATTTCTGTTGATTTTTTAGGAAGTGCAATACGTATATCACAGAAGGTCAAATAGTGATCAGTAATCATATCAGCATTAATAGTGCCACTCCTAAGACAACTTTCAGGCATGCTCAAATAAATAGGATCTAAGAGAGTGAGTGTCGATTCAGTTATCCTGGTCGGTTCAGATATCACCTGTTTCAGATTATAAGAATCAAGGCATTTACAGTATATTCAGATAAGAGATAGACCGGACATAAACAAGACCACGTGATCATCGAACGCTGTAACATTCGGCAGGGACGTATTAAGAGTCACGCAGTACATATTTTAGATAGTAGATGCTGCTTTGCGTAACTTTGTAGTAAATTAGCACAATTCGATGTGTATACGATTGGTGATGGATATAGGATCATGTGGGGGTGGGGTAAGAAATATATAATGATGTAAATATACATAAGGGTTTCAAAATTTTCGCTTCGATTTCCAGCTTCGGATGCCGCCTGATGTTTGGTGAAATACAGTCGAATATAATCTCAAAATGGCGTTTAAATTAGCCTAAATTAAAAATAATCGTATATCTCTTAAAATTGCTTTTAGAATATTGATTAGTATATTTTTTGATTTCTAGGTAAATATGTAACCAAATTAAAACGTTCAAAACGTAAAAAAATGTGCATGGTTGAACATTGTCAGAAAGTAGATTCTTGAATAGGTTTTGCCAAAATGGGTTCAAAAATGTCAATAATTAATTAAAAAATACAGTAGCTTTATAATTACTTATAACTTACCGAATTTGATGAACGACATCTTTTATTGGAAAGACGAGCTTGATGAGCTTTCATCATCGCTACTGCCTGAAGCACCAACGTCAATAATGAATGGCTCGACTTGTTCCTCTAAAATATTGTCCAGTTCCCACATTCTCTTTTCAACTTTGTCTTTCACGTGCTTAATACAGTTTTCCCATTTTTTGCGCTGTTATTAATTCTAGTGCTTCTTTGAAAAGTCCTTTGAGGTCACAAAATTTAAAAGTTGTATTGTGCTTAGCTATATAATTTTTAACCTCTGCCCATATGAGCTCAATGGGATTGAGCTCGCAATGGTATGGAGGTAAACGGAGCACAGTTTTATTTTGACTTGCTGCCATTTCGTCAATGGCGTAGTTTTGATATTCCGCCTTGTGATCCTTGACAATTCTTAATAATTGTACTTTCAGCATTGCTTCTTCAAAGTTGATATTTTTCGAGCGGAGCCAATTTTGAACATCAACTTTCCTTGAAGCCGTTGTTGGGACCTTCTCCATTCTTCGAGAATGATAAGGCGCATTATCCAACACACTTACTGCGTTTTCCTCTAAGTTCGGTAAAATTTTTGAAAACCACTGTTCAAGCGATTCGCCATTCATTTCCTCATGGTAATCTCCAGTTAGACTCAAAGCACCACAGACCGTCAACAACAAATCCATCCTCACTGCCAATATGGCAGATAATGAGCCTTTTGCCTTTACCTGGAAATCGAAGTACTAACTGGTGTAGATTTATTTCAATAAGCGAACCTTTTTCAAATGTTTTCATCACATTCAGCGAAAAAACATTGAGACATGAGTATCAGATTGCTATAATTGGGATTATTTAGTCATATTGAAAGAAAGAATATTGAACGTCGTATGATTACTCAGCGCTTCACAATTTAATTTAAAGTTATGAACCTTTAAAAAATGAATGATCAGGAACCTGAAATACGCGCAAATATTAATATTAACAAATTATAACTTTATAAAGCTTAAAGTATGAATTAAAATGATTAGAAATATTAGGAACGGTACACAATATAAAACTTAGTAACTTTTTTTAAGTTTATAATATTCGACATATTATATTAAAAAATTATTGAAATATCGAAAACACATAAAAACATGGCTTAAAAAAGTTCTAACAAATGAAAATGACAATAAAACATCCACGCATTTTATCGAAAGTTATAAAAGTTTTGTTACTTGTAATATGTTTTATCTGCCCCCTGGAATTAATGTTTGGAACCTTGTTCCCAAGGTTTGAAAAACATCCGATTGTTGTCTATTACTCGTATTTACCTGCTGGATTTTTTAATCCGGTGGACAGTCCATCTAGAAAGGCCCTCCTGGATGAAGTTACAGAATCATCAACCCATACTTTACTTGTAGTGTGTCTTGCGTTTACCCACGTTTCATCAAGGTAATAAATCTTCCTGTTTTGATTTCTATATTTCCCAATTTTTGTTAAATAATCCCTCCTCCAAAGCACAATTTCTTCTCTATCCAGTAATAAACTATTACGACCCCGTTTTTTCCATTTGAAATTTAAATGCTTCAGTAACGCATGGAAAGTTGATCGTTTGAAATTTGGCAACGTTGTATCTCCATTTACCTCCTGCAGTACTTTATCTATAGTAGGTATTTCATTCCTAAAGAAGAATTCATGCACTTTCCTCCTAATCGCATGCTTATCAGCTTCATCCAATGATTTAACAATACTTTTGCGATGTTTACTGGTCATTGGCTCAGAAAAGGTGTGATTTTTTTTGTATTGTCTTAACACATTAAACACTGATGCGCGACACACCCCAACTTTGTGAGAAACCTTCACAACAATTTCTTTGATGGTTGATGTCTCGTTCTCCTCGCGCTCGATCTTATATATATTCAAAATGACCTCTTTCATTTCTGCACTCAGGTGTCTTTTTTTAGAGCGTTTCCTAGGTGGACTACAGGAGTTTACAACTTCATCGGCAGTATCTGTACCACTGGGCATTTTGCGCAAGCAGTTGATAACAATAACAATCAATAACAAGGTATAACAATAACAACGACAAACTCAACAACTTAATAAGATAACAAACGAAAACGTCCAAAGAAATATCAAATTGCAATGATGCACACGACATACGTAACACGTCTGAACCTGAATGTGACTCTGCCTTGATACGACTGCTCTGCCGCTCGGCATAGGCATTTAATTGCGAATTGACCAATGAGGGCTCCTGTTTTACGTCGAGACAACGGCGTTAGCGTGAAAATCACCGGAACCTTTTGTTTACATCCGGTCTATCTGTTATCTGAATATACTGTAGTCAACTTGTTACAAACTGAAAGCAAATTAACATTAATATCCCCTGCAAGGATGATATCATCATATTCAGCTAATATGGCAGGCAACATGTTATCAAAGGTATTACCGGCTTCTGTAACAGAGCTATGTGGGGGCCGATAGAATATACCAATAGCAACTTTTTGTTTTGGAAGCTGCACCTTCAACCATATATATTCAAGACCTTGCCCAAATGAAATTATGGAAGAGTTGTAGTGGTTGTTTACAAAGACTGCAACCCCACCACCTCGCCCATCTCTATCACAGCGATAGCAGTTGTATCCATTCATTCTTATATGGTCATTAGATATATCTTTTGATAGCCACGTTTCCGATATTCCAACAATATCAAGGTTGTTCTTTTGAACCAGTGTACTAAATTCATGAAATCCTGATAAAACTGATCTGCAGTTTATATGACCAAATTTTAAAACCTTGAATTTATCACTATTCATATTCAATTCTACATTCCAAGTATGTAACATGTTTTTCATAAGTTGGACAATCTAAGTCTTTAGAAGAATGACTAGTATCAAATTGAGTGTTGAATTAATATGTACGTAGAATTACTGGGGTTGGAGGGGTTGGAGTGTTTGTGTTATATCGACCACATTCACCACAATCTTACTAACTTTTATAATTCAATCTAAAACGTTTTTAAATTGGGTAATTAACAAATAAATGGCATTAAGTTTTTCCAAGTTATGCCAAAATTTGTAGTCAGTACGTAAGTTTCATCAAATTAAATATTTAAAACACACATGACAACAGCGCGTCGGTCATTCATCACTCTTATCGAACCGGCAATCGATCGCAAACGGTAATTGTAGAGCAGGAGGAACAAATTTTAAATATCGTGGAAATCAATGCAGATATCAGCCTCGGGAATTCGGCCGCCGCGTAGGACTATCGCATACCATAGTCCATAGAATCCTACGGGAAATTTTGCTTTATCCCTACCATGTACCATGAGTGCAGGCCTTGTTACCAGAAGACTATCCTCGCAGATTAACATTCTGTCAATGGTTTGCACAAAGATTTTATTTTACTTTAAATAATGAATATCATAAGGTTTACACGCTGTATTCCTGTTACATTTTCAAGATTCACTTCCATTCAGTGTCTCCATTTGCCTGTCCATCGCGCCGACTATGTACCCACTTATTAAAAAAACTCCTTGATTTACTCATGCATATGAAACGATGGAGCTTAACTCACAAACGCATATTAGCTAATGAGTTTCAGCCACCGCCACATGCGTCCAAGGATCCGCGGGAAGATAAATGAGCTGATGTTGCAAGTTTGAACAGTTGGAGGAAGCGAACTTTGTTGGAAAGTGGAGAATAAAGTTACGGGTTTCCAGACAGAGAAAAGCGAGGAAACCTTATTTTGAAAAATCAACGCAATTGCTATAAGTTTCCCTTTGTGTAACATATTTCTATAGTATACTATGTGACATATAAATCCGAACACCCAGTTTAAATGATTTTATTTTAATAAAAGTTGGTGAATGTATTTATCTTACTGTAAATAACAAGTGAACAAATTTTCAGCCTTATCAGTTGGACATTCCGGTTTTTATACTGCTTTTTTTTAATTCACTAACGCTCTAAAAATGAATATTTCAGCCGCAGTAAAGACTCAACGTTGGCGGATTTTGGTTCTTGACATCCTTTACGATCGGTTACGATGCCTAGTGTACGGAGACCTGTACGATTTCGTCAACTTAGTGAGTTTGATAGGGACCGTATAGTGGGACTTCGGGAAGCTGGACTTTCTTTTCGGGCAATTGCAGTTAGAGTGCAAAGAAGTGTAGGTGTTGTCAGGCATGGCTTCGAGAAGGCCGTACGCAAAGAGCAAGGGGCACTGGACGCCGCCGTAGAACAACATACCGTGAAGATTGCCGCCTAAGATTATTGGCCTTAAGGGACCGTTTCTCCACTACCAGGTCCATTGCAAATGAATGGTTTGCAGAACACGGAAGACCTATTGGCATGCGAAGTGTTTACCGACGAATGAGAAGTTTTGGCTTGTTTTCATACCGGCCACACTGGGTCCTCCCTTTAACTCGAGAACACCGACGTAATCGCCTTGAGTGGTGCAGACAACGGTCACTCTGGGATCAGGAATGGAACAGTATTGTCTTTAGTGACGAGTCTCGATTTTGTTTAGGCATGCACGATGGTCGCCAGGGTTAGAAGGCGACGTGGTGAAAGGAGGAATCTACAGTTTTTTGTTGAAAGACATGTTCATCACACTGTTGGAGTTATGGTTTGGGGTGCTATAGCTTATGGTTCCAGGTAACCTTTAATCTTCATCAGAGGTAAAATGAACGCGCAGCGTTATATCCACGAAGTTCTAGAACCCCATCTTTTACCCTATCTTGACACCCTGGCAGATCCAACTTTCCAACAAGATAATGCCCGACCACATGTTGCAAGAATCACAATAGACTTCTTTCAACATAATGATGTCACATTGTTACCATGGCCACCAAGGTCTCCCGACTTATCCCCAATTGAACACGTGTGGGATATGATGGGTAGGAGATTGCTCAATTTGCAACGTCCTCATCAGACTCTAGAAGCACTTCGAGAGGAGTTGGTGGTTGCCTGGAATGAGATACCACAGGACGACATTGACCACCTGATCAGAAGCATGCCTAGGCGCGTTGGAGAATGCGTAGCACATCAGGGTGCATCCACACATTATTAAAGGTCAAAGGGCTTTAAAGCAGTGCAATCATTTTGAAATTTTTATCATTTACTTATTATGCTTCATTAAGTAATTTTATTAAATAAAACCATTTAAACTGGGTGTTCGGATTTATATGTCACTTAGTATATTATTCAATCGCCTGATGGTGGCATATCCAAAATGGCGTGGAGTGAAACTAGGAAGTTCTTCTTAACCCCCGAAAAGGAGGATGTTGTGAGTTTAACGTGTGAATCTGTGCATCTACCTGTTTCTGGCATCTAACGTTTTTTTTAACCGAAATTCTTGTATGACGTCTGTAAATTAAGCGATGAGACTGGCAACGTAGCGTTCGAGTTGGCGGCACTGGAGAAACCGGGCTTAGAGAGGAGATAGAGGAACATGTGGTCCGCCTTCAGTACAAGCTAAAACTCGACAGAGTCATTTGGTTGCCCAAACTAGGCGAATATGACTGAGAGGTATCAGATGAGATGGCCGAATGTTATCTACTGAATCGGTCTTTTAATGGAAATCGGCTTTTCAGTTAGTCTAGTAACTTTTTAATAGAATTGGGTCACGGGTCATCAGCGAAGTAATCGTAAGAAGATAGAGGTTAAATTACTTAAGAAGCATCTACAGTGGCGTATCCGAAAATCCATAGGCATCCCAAAGATCTTTATATCGGGGACCCGTTCAAAAAATGGAGATGCTATTGATTCAGGGAAATGAAAATATACTAAGTGACATATAAATCCGAACACCCAGTTTAAATGGTTTTATTTTAATAAAATTTGGTGAATGTATAAATCTTACTGTGGATAACAAGTGAAAAAATCTTCAGAATTATCAGTTGGACATTCCGGTTTTTATACTGCTTTTTTCAATTCAATAACGCTCTGAAAATGAATATTTCAGCCGCAGTAAAGAATCAACGTTGGCGGATTTTGGTTCTTGACATCCTTTACGATCGGTTACGATGCCTAGAGTACGGAGACCTGTACGATTTCGTCAACTTAGTGAGTTTGATAGGGGCCGTATAGTGGGACTTCGGGAAGCTGGACTTTCTTTTCGGGCAATTGCAGTTAGAGTGCAAAGAAGTGTGGTTAGGTGTTGTCAGGCATGGCTTCGAGAAGGCCGTACGCAAAGAGCACGGGGCACTGAACGCCGCCGTAGAACAACAGACCGTGAAGATCGCAGCCTAAGATTATTGGCCTTAAGGGACCGTTTCTCCACTACCAGGTCCATTGCAAATGAATGGTTTGCAGAACACGGAAGACCTATTGGCATGCGAAGTGTTTACCGACGAATGAGAAGTTTTGGCTTGTTTTCATACCAGCCACACTGGGTCCTCCCTTTAACTCGAGAACAGCGACGTAATCGCCTTGAGTGGTGCAGACAACGGTCACTCTGGGATCAGGAATGGAACAGTATTGTCTTTAGTGACGAGTCTCGATTTTGTTTAGGCATGCACGATGGTCGTGCCAGGGTTAGAAGGCGACGTGGTGAAAGGAGGAATCCACAGTTTTTTGTTGAAAGACATGTTCATCACACTGTTGGAGTTATGGTTTGGGGTGCTATAGCTTATGGTTCCAGGTCACCTTTAATCTTCATCAGAGGTAACATGAACGCGCAGCGATATATCCACGAAGTTCTAGAACCCCATCTTTTACCATATCTTGACACCCTGGCAGATCCAACTTTCCAACAAGATAATGCCCGACCACATGTTGCAAGAGTCACAATAGACTTCTTTCAACATAATGATGTCACATTGTTACCAAGGCCACCAAGATCTCCCGACTTATCCCCAATTGAGCACGTGTGGGATATGATGGGTAGGAGATTGCTCAATTTGCAACGTCCTTCTCAAACTCTAGAAGCACTTCGAGAGGAGTTGGTGGTTGCCTGGAATGAGATACCACAGGAGGACATTGACCTGATCAGAAGCATGCCTAGGCGCGTTGGAGAATGCGTAGCACATCAGGGTGCATCCACCCATTATTAAAGGTCAAAGGGCTTTAAAGCAGTGCAATCATTTTGAAATTTTTATCATTTACTTATTATGCTTCATTAAGTACTTATACAAAATTTTATTAAAATAAAACCATTTAAACTGGGTGTTCGGATTTATAAGTCAGTATAATAAAAGAACTTTATCTACTTGGCACATATTCAGCTTATAAGCTGCTTTACGATATTAACCAGTGCAAAATTACAGAATCTTTTTTTATAAAAATACAATAAAACCACTTTTATTGGTTTCCCCATTACTTCCCATCCACATCTCCTTCATTTCGCAACATCAGGTGACATCGGTCTTGCACGTAAGCATATTAAAATTACCCACTATGTACCCGGTCAAGATGTAGGTCATGTATCGGATGACTTCTGACCTTTCCCTAAGAATGGCTGCCGCCGAGTATATAACATTGATCCCAATTTTACGATTATATGCTCCTATTTGCTGGAATAGGAAATAGTTAAATCCCCGAATCTGCAGTCACAAATGCATGAGATGACATTTTATTAGCAGCATCGTGGCCTAATCTTGATTTATACCAATTCTGTATTTAGGGATGGAATGTACAGGATGAAAACGTTAACAGGCTAATTCAAACCTCATTTACGCCTCATTTACAAATATAAGAATTCAACACCTGCTTCTATTCTATTCTATAGTTGATAGAATGATTGAAACATTTAGGGCCAATTTTACCAACAACAGTCCGTTATTCTCCACCTATAGGATAACAGACCGTCA